AAACTCTGAATTCATAAAATGTATACATCACAATGGTTCATAAAAATTTATGATAGTGTAATAGCAATAAAATTAAAATATATAATATAATATAATATAATAAATATATGTATATATATCTATTAATTGTAAATCAAGTTATACATATAAATATATTTGAATGTAAAAATAAAAAGAACATCGATATATAATAATCTATTTTTATATTTTAATTGCATTCTTTTTCATTTACAAATTTATTTATAACTTTATTATATCAAAATTGTAAATTTTAAATACTTGACTAATTTTGATTTTATAATTTTACTATATTAAATACAACATTAAGTATATGATTAGTCCTAATCTACATAACATATATTGATGTAAATTAACTCGCATGATAGATATAATAAATAAACCATTGCATGATATATAAGAAGTATTAAAATTTACCATATTCATTTATAAAAAATATTTATTGTATCTTCTTTCTGATTTTATTGTATCAAAAATTCATATTTAATTTTATATAAAATGTCGTTGTGCATTATTGTATAATTCAAGAGTGCATAATACATATATTTAATGATATTATTAGATTTGTGATTCATTATGGAACTGATATTGACTGAGAGAAGATAAAATCAAAAAATATTTAAAATCTATCTATTTTAAGTTCAATTTATTATAATTTATATTTATATTAAACGTTCTATTTCTAGAACATTAACGGAAAGATTAAAAAGATGAAAAAAATTGCTACATGAAAAATTGCTTTTTCTTAATTTTTTCTTAATTTTTATACAAACTTATATGTTGAAAAAAAAAATATTTTTTTGAATTTATATTTTAATGATTTAAATATTTTTATGTTTTAAATAAATTGATAAAAATAATTAATTCTTATTAATTATTATTATTAATTATTTTCAGAATTCATTTTATAATTATATATTAATAATAAAAATGGTTACGTTTAGTTTATTATTAAAACTGCTTATATTTGAAGGTCATTATTAAAAATTATCATGTACAAAAATTTACCATTAATATTTCAAAAATAATAAAAATAATATTTTTCAAATTCAATATTTCTTAATATTGATTTCATTTCAAATTTCGAATTCATTCGATCCAATGCGAAATTTTGAATTTGATTATTTTTATAAATCGCGTTATACATTATACGCATTACACATTACATTATATATTTTTTTTTATTTTTTCTTTAATTAAAAAAAAATGAAATCAGACATATAATGATATCGCAATGATAAAAATCACAGCGTTAGATATAGCGATCAGTTTTAACTCGCAGTAAATTATTATAAAATATATATATTGTTACAAAATAAATTATAGAAAATGTTATTAAGCGATATTGTATAAGATAAACAAGAAAATAATAATTTTTAGATAAATATAATAATGGTGATTATATTGGTATGATGGTAATAATAAAACAGAAGCTTTCATATTGCATTGAAAGTGTAACGTTTGATAATTGCCACCGATTCGTTTATTATGTCTATAATAAAATCTCTGATATCTGAAATTATAGAAAAACATTGTTATTTGCATTTTATATTCAAAAAATAATAATATAAGAAAAATTAGAAAGATAAGATTTTAAAATTTAATATGAAAAGATGTATATATGATTTCTTTTTTTTTTATATAATTTTTGTTTTTACTTAGAGCGAAGAGCGAAGAGAATAAATAAGTCTATATTCAATTAAAAATTATCGATATTTAAGCTGTTATAATTTCATAAAAAAAAATTATACAATAATTAATTGTATGATTTTTTTCGCCAAATTATTAACTTTAATTTTGAATATCGGAATTAAGTAAATTTAAATTTTTTTTATTTTTTATATATATGTAAATAATTTAATAATTTAGTAAAAGAAAATCTATAATGTAAAATATAATGTAAAAATATAATAAATCTATAATGGATTAGTTAAAAAAATTTTTTTAGTGTCTTTACAGTATGATTGAATTTTTCAAATTTTGAGAAGAATGAAAATAAAAATATCTTTGATAGAAATAAAATTGTGAAAGTAGAGATTTTATTTTTTAAAATAATAATATTAATAATAAGTTTAGACTGATTATTGTACAATTTTTTTTACGAAAATATAACAATTTAGATATTGATAAATTTTTATCAAGTATAACTTCATTAATTACATTAATTATTTATATATAATTACAAAATTGAAAAATAATTAAATCTTTAAAAATTAAAATTTTTTATTTTTAATATTTTAAGGATTTAAATGAATAAAAAAAAATTGTATATGTTATATGTTATTTTTCCGCAAAAAATTTTAAATATTATTTATTTATTCTGCTCATATTTCCAAAGTTTCATAATCTTCTTTTGCGAATTGGGAAACTGTCAATCGCGTTAAATTTTTAATTTATTTATTTATATTTTATTTATATTGTTATAATTAATAATTTTTGCTATAAATTATCTTTTGTTAATGATTTGCTTATTTTCTTCATTTAATATTTACGATCATCAATGTATCAAAATTTACCATGAAAATAATATGTATCTTGAATTGTTAAATTTTATAATAAAATTTTTATTAATTAAGAAATAATAATACAATATATTTAGTTTTTTTAATTAAACTATAAAGAAAAAATTAATCAATAAATTTATATATTATTTATAAAAATTGCAATTTAGTTTGATCAGACATTTTGACCAATCGATAATATTACAGCATCGTATGAATCAATGATATTGAATAGAAATTCCATATTGGATTTTGCAAACGAGTGAGTCTACTTGGCTGACCCACGTCTTGCGATACCAAAGACGGCAAGGACAGTGGAGCAGTGTTGATGATGTCATCTGTCATTAATCAATATTAAATTTAAAATGAAAATACAATCCTGCACAAAATAATAAATATATCCTATAATTTTTAATGCAATTTATCAAAATTTTACATATTTATATATTCATATAAATATTTCTTATTTAATAATGCAGAAAAATTCAACTATTAATATATTTTTTTACAAATTTTATTGATTTATAAAATAAATATGATAAAATGATAGCATATATGAAAAAATAAATTAATGAAATTTTTGCTTAAAAATGCAATAATTTCTTATACGTATTTTATGTAAATCATGTATCTTATATGTGCTAAATTTGAATTCAGTTATAAAAATTATTTATCATATTTACAGATTTAAGAAATAAACAAGTAAAAAAATTATCTTTTACTATATTTACAAGATTATTCTATAGAAAATAATTTTTTTTCAATATTTTTGTCAATTATATTATATTATCTTTCGCCTGTAAAGTCAAATTTGATTTATTATTATAGAATTCTTTTATTAAAATATACTATTTTGAAATTATTCCATTTTTAATTTATTCATGATAAAAAGTCTGATTTAATTTTTGGAAATATGAAATTTATAAAATGAAAATTTGTATTTTTTTAGATATCAAGGGAAACTATTTTTTAATAAGTTTTTAATTATATGCGTTATATATTTCAAAAAAGAATTTTGATGAAAAATCAAATTTGATTCATTGTGAAGAATATTATATAATGATTATAAATATAAATACAAAAATTAATAATTTTTATAACATTTACTACCTAAATGTAATGTGACAACTGTAAACAACTTTTATATCAAATTCAGATTAGCATATGATAATACGTAATATAAACTATTCCATTTTCAAACAACAAAATTTTGTTAATCTGTTTTTTCATATCTATCATTTTTCACATAAACAAATAAAATTTGTAAAGAAATGTGTTGACCTTTTTTTTCTATATTATTAAATAGGAGATATTTTATATGTATGTAAAATTTGGATAAATTGCATTAGAAACATTGAAAATCATATATACTATGTTCATTTTGTCTAAAAGTATAATATTAATTACGTCAATATTTGATAATATAACAACTTCCTATTTACATCATATTGTAAATAAATTATATTCATCTCAATCTTTAAAAAAGCATAAAAAACTTATAAGACATTTTTAAAAAGTATTTTTTAATTTTTTAATCTTTCTTTTTCTCTATTTTATTTAATAATTTTCATCATAATTTTTCATTTGAATTATTTAAACATATTAAATTAATCATTTGTATATAATAATATAAATTCCTTTATTTATATAACAAAAAACTAAATTTTTACACTAATTATTATTTAATTTAATTTATATGTTAAATACAACTTGGTTGATAAAGCTTCTATATTGAGTAACACGAGTATAAGCATCAGGATATCCTTGAGCACATGGAATGACCCAGGAAGCGATACCTATAAGTTGACCATTATAGACAAGAGGACCTCCACTGTCACCCTATAAAAAAAAAGAAAAATGTTTTTCAAGATAAATTTGAAAGACAATTATTATAATCAAGTTTTCAAATTAAAATTGATATGATGATATTAAAATAATATTGATATTAGTTTCAAGAACATAAATTTAAATTGTTACTCACCATGCAGATACCAACACCTTTTCTTTTAAAAGTACACAATTGTCCATTGTAGATATGGTAATTTGGAATACGTTTCTGACATTCTTCATTGCTCATAAGATAAACATTTGTTGTTTGAAGAATTTCAGGAAGATTTCCATTTGTACTGGTACGTCCCCAACCAGACATTATTAATGTTGCACCAACTGGTGGATCGGAAGAAGCTGGAGAAATTGGTTTTTGGTATGTATTTAATTTGACTGTATCAGTAAGCTACAAAAAAAAATTAAAGAAAAATTATTAATTATTAATATTTTAATATTAAGAAAAATAATTTTTGTTGAAAATTTTTTCTTTGTTATAAACATGTTATGCTTTATGAAATTTATTAATATATTTTTTGTAAAAAAAAAAAAAATAAGATTAATAATCACTGATGAAAATTGATGTAGTCTCAATAAAAATATAAATGAAATAAATATATATAAGAAACAAAAATAGCAACTTTGAAATATAATTATAATTCGAAACTTAAATGTTTAAAAAAGATAGTTATATTAATATTAAAAAGATAGTTAATATTAATATTTCTTGAATCAATTTATATTTAAAAATAAATATTTTCTCTAAATTTTTGATATATAATTCATTTTAATAGAATTAAAACATATAAAATTATATTATTAATTTAAGATCTGCGTTTAAAATATATTTATATTTACAATATAATGTATTATTTTCATAATCAAAATTTTATTGTATTCTAAATATTTAATTATTAATTTATTTAAATTTTTTTAATTTTGATTTTAACATTTTATTTTATCTATACATAAAAATATTTGAAAAAGTTTAAAAAACTTTAATAATCGATAAAGTTATTTTATGATTAACTTTTACATTTTTATTTATCAATAAATATTTTTGATGTCATAATATTCAATATCATTAAAGTGATATCAAATTTAATATCTGCTTAATTTTTAATCAATAAATATAAAATATAAAATATTATTGATTATTATATAAGATATTATTTTATTTTACAAAACTATAATAAATATATATATTTACCGTAACTACAGCAATATCATTTCTGTAAGATTCAGAAGAGCTAGGTTTGAAGTCGGGATTGATAGTAGTTTTAGCAATACGATAACTTTGACCTCCATTTATATTGCTGATTGTACCAGTCACAATAGTGAAATCATTATATGGCGCAGATACAATACCATGAATGCAGTGAGCAGCAGTGACAACGTGTCTTTCGGTAATCAAAGTACCACCACAAAAATGGCGCCCGGATTTTCTAAGTGATACTTGATAAGGAAATTGACCGGGAGAAGCATTGGTACCACCGATGATTTTTTCCAAATTTTCTGCGAATATACCTGCACAAATAAAATAATAGATTTAAATTTCGATAATTATGTGGAAAAGCGGACTTTTCACTGATTTTGATAATTTTGAAATATATTATAGAGAATAAGATTTTTAATAACTTTTTCTATATATTTTTTACATATATTCCTATACGTTCAAACAAAATTCAATAGTATATAATACCAAATGTTTTTTGCATAGTATAATATTAAATATTATATATATATAATATAATATTTAATATTATTTAATATTATATTATATCGAGAAAATTAAAATCGAGTTACATATAAAGTTGCTCAAAATAAAATTCTGTACAATATGTTTCATTTCATTAATTGGTGAAAAGAAGCTAATTAATAGGTTGATCCGAATTTTATTTTCTAATTAGTATGTAAAATATGTAATTTTATATGTAAA